GTTGGGTTAAATTTTTTAATTTGGGTTAGTCCATATTTGACCCAAAGTTGGGTTGAAACAACCTAGCATTTTTTTTAGAGTGTATGCAGTGTAATTATGGCTATATAGGTTAGTTAAATATATGCAATTAAGACAAGACCAATCATAATGCAGTATGCAAATGTTATGATGACATCATAGCTGTCTACAAAACAAATGTCTGCATGTTAAGCAGGTCGAATTAATTGCAGTAGTTGAACATGTACAGTCACAGATTTAGAAGCAACACTAACCAGACATTTGAGGAATATGACTGCTCTCACAGTCTCTGTGTCTGATATAACAGGAGAAGAGAAAGATCCCTGCAGTGCCTAATGGAGAGCTGGCAGAGACGGAGGAACATGGTGGACATGGAGGCCCTGAGCTGCAGCGCACCGGGAGGTCAGTCTGGAGTGTGTGTGTGTGTGTGTGTGTGTAGACACATCAGAATCACATGTCAGTTTGTGTGAAAGCCTTTGAAAATAAAAATCTCCTTTTAGAGGAAATGGGGGGTGTCTCCTGCTTTTTAGATGTTTTTTTCCTGTGTCCTCTAGAGCAGCGGTTCTCAATTCCAGTCCTCGCGACCCCTCGCTCTGCACATTATGTATATTTCTCTTATCACTTCAGACGTTTGTTCTATTCGACCGTAAGTGCCCTGCGAAATGGAATTCACAGGATATTCCACCATGATTCCAGTTGGAAGGGAACGTACATGTTCACGCGAGACGTGAATTTAAATTGTATTTATTTACACAGGTATGTCACACTTCACACTTCTCTAGTAAGTTTGGTCTCAGGTCATGCGGGGAGCTCTCTTCTAACGAGCTGATGATCTGAATCAGGTGTGTTAAATAAGAGAGACATGCAAAATATGCCGAGCTTATTTCAGAAGAGATTTGAATGTAATCTTAACAACTGTGCCTAGATACCAAAGTCTGCAATCGAATATCTGAGATCAGGATGAACTCTTTTATCATTTATCGTTACATTTTTTCCAAATTATCTGAGCTGTTATTCACATTTTATTGATCTATACACATATTTCTTTAAATTAATTTTAGGAGAAACATCTAAAACAAAGTTGATACATTTTTGTATTATCAGGGTTATTATAGTTCATTAAAACTAAAACCTTAATAAAACATTTTTGTTACTTGAAATAAAATAAACTTGAACTGAAATAAAATATAAAAGAATATTTTTCATTTAACTTGATGTGAAACTGAAATAAATATGACTAAAATGATGTAGATATTTAAAACAAACAAAAACTAATAAAAATGACAAAAGTACTAAAACTTTGAAATTAAAATGAAACAGAAAATATAAAAATAAAAACTAATTCAAAACATTAATAAGACTATAATAATTTCTCAATGATAACAAAATAACACTGTGTATTACATTTTTTTTAAATGTGAAGTTTAATTATGGAAATTAAGTATAATCTGATTAAATATAAATAGCATAAATTTTGGAACAGAAATCTGAATATTGGATAAAGCCAGTTTCAAAATTCTTGTTTGATTTTGTTGACATATTACAGTAGGTTTTTACAGAGGGGATTTTGGATTTCTCTATTTATCACTCCACAAATCAGAAAATATTCTCAGTAGCCAGACGGAAATATATTTTCACCATTTTCTTAGGAATAATGTGTTGTATAAAATCATGCAAATGATATCTGAACAAACCTCTCTGTAAAAACCTTCAGAATATAGATAGGAATAAAACTGTGAAGATTTAGTGTGGTGTATGTAGGTGCTGCTGAATTAGAGAAAAAAAACTCATTTGGATATGTATTGTAATTGAAATGGACAGACACACGTAGATAAAGTACAATAAAATAAACACTTAAACGTGTATCTTGGACGTTTTCTGTTCATTTGTCTGAAACTGTGTTATGAAAAGCCAAATAATCCAAAATCTCAAAAGTGACCATTGCAGGAAAAAAAAGAAAAGAAAAAGTTTTTGCCTGTATGTCTCGCCTTAAACACAACGGCTTAATTCCATAAACTATGAAAGACAACCTCGGAGAAATAAAATGTTCCTCTTTGAAGACAAATGTCTGTAAAAGGTCACGCAGCTCACCGTTGTGTTCATTATGACAGTTAAAGGGCACACACTGTAATAATGTAGATCTTTTAGGACGATGGTTTCATTCTGTACTACAATGTAACCGAGAGCCGTGCCACTGAAGACCAGGTTTTCGACTCTCCAGTGAACTGGACAGATGCCATGTTTGACATTTGGTCACACTCTTCCTGTTGAGTGACAGTTTTCACAACTTTGAGTGACTTTCTCTCTTCTCACAACAATAATCCCCTTCTGTTCTCAGATGGCTCTTTTCTCCCAAATGGTTATCTGATCAGCCCTAATTAATATTTCTTTCTGGTTAAAGAATTATGCCTTAAATAGTATGTATGCACTGTGCACAAAATGTAGTTTTTCTGTATGCATGGAATATCTGGATGATATTTGCCAAATTGTGCTACAGAAAATATGCTTTACCAAAATGCAGTGCTCTCAATTTGACCTTGCATTTCCAGTGCAACAAATGCATTGGATGTAATATCTGCTTTGATTTTAACCTCTTTTTTTACTAATTTTTATCAGACTGACAAATCTTGATTAAACAAAATTTGATTAAAATGAATTAAATACTGGATTTTAAATGTAAAATAGCAGAAAGCTGGACACCACTCACTGAATTGGTTGAATATTTTTACGATTTTATTCTTATATTTATGTGCTACATTGATTTCAGTTTTCTATATTATTCTGAATCATCCATCATTTTTGCCACACCAGTCACCAGGTGGGTGAATTGTGAAAATGTACTGTTTAAAGTATTTATTCCAGACTATGAAATTGTATTTAGCATTGACAAAATTAAAATATATATTTTTGTTCCCATGACAGTGCAACTGTTTTTTCATATGCAAGACGCACCAGACTTTCTGTCTTGCTGTGAAACAACACTGGTCAGAAAACCGTGAATTCATGTGAGGAATATTTCACATATGTGTCGGCACATGAAGAAAAAAACCATCCAGCCATCCTATAGATAAACTTCTTTTTCTGTTTGTTGTTAGATGTGCGACCTGCGAGGAATTCGTTGCACTCCAAAAATAAAATAATAAGTCAATCAGTAATAATAGTTTGAAAATGAAGCCTATTTTTAGGTGCATTAAAATAGTTTTGCATTGTGACATTATTTTCATGAGAATTGCACACATTTTGAGGGTTTTGTTTCCAAATTCCTATTATTCTCATTACTGCAATACAGTACAGTAAATAAAATTTTTTTTGCATTATAGTAATGACAGTTTGGAAGAAGATTTTTTAATTGTCATGTAAATAATTGCCTGGTAAGTGTTTATTTTGCACGTAATTCTCTGTGGAATGTAACACTGTGAATTTAGTTTAAGCCAGTTTTCCACCTCTTTCCGCAGCTCAGACGGCAGTAATCTTGTGTCTGGTGTTTTTTGTCAGGTTTTTTGGTGGATTGGTTCTGGATGTGAAGAGGAAGGCTCCGCACTTCCTGTCGGATTTCACAGATGCGCTCAGCCTGCAGTGTTTGGCCTCTTTCCTGTTTCTGTACTGCGCCTGCATGTCCCCTGTTATCACCTTCGGAGGACTGCTGGGAGAAGCCACAGAGGGACGCATAGTAAGAACACCTGAACACATGCATGCACATTTGCCTCGTTGGCTAGTCATTAATATTTAAATCTATATTAATGTAGTCATGTAAACATGATGCTTTGTGACATTTTCTCCCCTTTTCCCAGAGTGCAATTGAATCGCTGTTTGGAGCCTCCATGACTGGAATTGCTTACTCGCTATTTGCCGGACAGCCTCTCACTATTCTGGGCAGCACTGGACCCGTTCTGGTGTTTGAGAAAATATTATTCAAATTCTGCAAGTATGTCTAATATAAAGATCTCAGTGTTTTATATTTTGCTTAGTGCAAACACTAATTTAAATTTTATAAATGAATTGTTTGTTAATTGTATTTTCTATATCTATCTATCTATCTATCTATCTATCTATC